TCAAACTTTAATCGGCGGACATGTTATACCAAATTCGCTGGCAAGCGTATCGGTAGTTTCTAAACTGCTCCATTCTAGCTTACGGCCTTGTTTTATCTCAAGTCCGACTTGGTTATAATGTCGCTCTAGAACTTGCAAACAGGTATTGGTAAGGTCACCTTTACATGGGTGCTTATCAACACCTCCCTGAAGATCGTGGACAAAAAAGAGTAAATTATTGCTTGGCGACGCGGAATGATTAGAACATATATCCAAATTATTTCCTGCTGCTTTGTGTGATAAGCAATAACTGGTAAAGACATTTTCGTTGAAAGCCGACCCAGCGTTACCATGATAACCTGTTTGAGGCTCGGAAAGAACAGTTTCTATATCTTCGGGCCTAATGGTGTGGCCACTTGGAAATCTTTTATTATATTCTTTTAGGTCATCGCACATTTCAAAATTCCAGTCATAGCGATCTCTCTCAAAGTACCATGCATAAGAGAGGATGACGCTGACTGGAGAGATAAAAGTCGTGTAAAACTTTCTGAAGGCTTCCTCAAAGTTATTTGTATTTAAATGTTTTAGGATATGCTCTCTGCAGTGAGTGACCGTGTCTCGGTACATATATACCGGAAAATACGTCATAAAATCAGCGACAAATGGTAATCCTAGCGCCCGTTTAGTAGTATCTGCCCAGTTATATACCCAGCTCCTGTAGAATGTGCAGGCGGAGCCTAAGGCTCGTACCATTGTCCCATTAAAATTGTGGACTTAGTTACTGGGGTAAAAAGGCTGAGTCACTGTCCATCCAAGCAATGACGGTGTCATTTGAAAGTAGGTCGATGAAAAACTGCTCCAAAGTTGTCTGTTATAACTGGGGTGTCTTAGGCGAGCCTTGAAACTCCAGAGTTCCTTTGTCCTTTGGAAGGGCCTCATAAAAGAATTCAAGTCTACGATCAGGAAAGTATTTTTGGGCAAGTGTTTTTAATTTTTCGGCAAATTCATGATCCTCGTGTGATTCTTCATCAAGTCCTACGACTAAATTTCCAAAGGAAGGAGGCCAGAAGAGAACGGAAGTCCTGAAAACGTTACACAAATAACGCTGCCTGTGATCTGGTCGTTTGCCAGACATCCTTACGAACACACTTATTGAGGTATCTGGGGTGTGCTTTGTTGTCCCTAAGATCTCTTTGTTTGCCACAGGTCTTGCGGTGCTGTGGCTGCTAACTGAGACTGGGGAGGTTTTGTAGAACCAAGGTAGCGAAGTTCCCTTCCCGAGATCACATGTGATATGAGTATCAGCATGGCGGAGAGGGCTAAAATAAGGCAGATGAGAACACCTGTTCTAACACTTCGTAAAACCATTGTCTAGTCAGTTGTATAGCTTTCTTCACATGGACTACTGCTACAAAAGAGAAAAGGAAAATGTTAATCGCATAAATGGTGCCATGTAGTGTAACGCAAGACAGTCTTGACAGTCTAGATTCCACGCTGTGGGTTACGGATTCTAGGGACTAGATTCCGTATTTCTTACCAGTAGATCTTGCAGGGGCACCCAACGTCATTTTTCGGAAAATATCTGTTTGGAAGCACGATTTGAGATCTAGAATTATCGGAACATTTTTTGTAAAATTTCTTGCTTGTCTGCCTCCCCTAGGATTTTCGAACATCTAAAAATTGGTATACCTTATTATAGGAAATTAACGCTCCATAAAAGGTATTGGAAATTAACGCGACTTAAATCAACGCGAATTTAATGGAAAACGACTTTCGAATAAAGAAAATTAACTCGAAAGAGGAGGTAGAATTTTATAATAAAGGAAATTAACGCGATTAAGACAAGGTGGTGACAACTAGAACAAATTTATTTCAACACTGGATGCAAAAAAATTCAAAACTGAACAAAACTGAGCTGACATCACATCTGACAGTGACAACGATGAAGATGAACCGAAATATTGTAAACCTTCGCCCTAGCTTTTGTGAAAGTTTGTAGTTAATTACGTTTTTTAGGTGTCAAGAATGTCTGGACAAGTTCCAAAATTGGGGTTAAAATAGTGGAAATTCATCCTCGGAGACCCAGGGGCAGATAGTGGGGGCGAGGGAAAGTCTAAACGGACGGAAAAATATGGCACGAAGAAAAGTAAAGAACGGCGAGAAGAGCCCCTGGGGACAATGTCTTACCAGACCAGTTCCAAACGGTCGCCGCCGTTCTGCCTTCTGATTGGGCAGAAAAACACAAAAGTTTTCTGGCACCAATCAGAAGTCAGAACGGCGGCGACCGTTTGGAACTGGTCTGGTAAGACATTGTCCCCAGGGGCTCTTCTCGCCGTTCTTTACTTTTCTTCGTGCCATATTTTTCCGCCCGTTTAGACTTTCCCTCGCCCCCACTATCTGCCCCTGGGTCTCCGAGGATGGTGGAAATTAAGAGCGCGGAAATTAACGCTGCACTTAATTAAGGTCGCGGAAATTATCGCTCAACAAAATTAACGCGAATCATGGAGCGCTAATTTCCTATAATAAGGTAATTGCCCATCTTAAACGGATTTTTGCCCTAAAAAGGTCACCTAGAATTTTCGGGAGCCGACCGTTTTTTTGGCTGAAATTTTCGAAAAGGTAAGTTTTAATCCCTATAATTTTCGGATCACTAGACTTTCAGCTAGGAAATCTGAACAGATGAAAAATTTTTAGGAGATAAAAATATGCCCAGATATCTACCGTTTAGATACTAAAATACGTTTAATAATGCTATGTTTAAGTGGTTTTGAACTATATTCTCGTTGGGTGCTCCTGATCTTGGAGTCAGGATTCCTTGAGCCCTGGGTTCGGGATTCCAAAGCTCTGGATTCCTGACTCCACAAGCGGACGAGGAGAAGACTTTTGACGCAGTATTTCGGTTGCCCTTGATATTACTCTCCCAGACGTTCTTTTAGAATACTACAGACCGGGGTACAATTGATAAGTTACAAACAGTTTGACTGCTTTGGTCAAAGCTGGCGAACGCTTGAACGATATTGACGAATATTAAGGCTCAGAATTACGTGTCTGAGATAACCAAGAAACCGATGTCTCGCAACGTTGAAGATTTCAAGGTTATTGCACGTAGAGTAGATGAAAAAAGAGACACCTTCACACTGATATGAAAAATGTAAGTATAACTACAGTGTATACCGACGATTTCCAAAGACAGCGTACGTTGTTTTTCACTGAACTCTATTATCTATTGCCACGATACTCGCACTTACAAAAACTTGAGATGTACGTTACGTCTTGTGAGTGGCTGGTAGTGAGGACAAAAAAACAGAATTGCGTTGGAGGGACATGACGAGGAAAAACAATAGAAATGTGTTGCTGGTGCGAGTTAAACAATGGTCTTGTTGGGTTGGTGGCGACTGAGGTGAAACAATGGAAACAAGACGCTGAAAGGCGTTCTCAGGGCTGCCCTTGACGTAGACTGATATATTGTAAACGCATTTTTTCAACCCATACCGATAGACGGGCCTCATTCAACTGATTGCACTGTGTCTATTGCAACCTTGTCAATTTTAAAGATCACCCGCATTTTGAATTTATCGGCTCGTTCTCTAACCAATCAAAGAATATAGATTAAAAGGTCAATAACAGTAGTGTTGTCCCAGCATTTTCGGCCTGGACAAGTACCAGCTAAGTACCAGCCAATTTGTGGCTCATAACTAAAATGCGCGGGAAACCTGCTTAATTTATGCGAAACATGTTCACGCAAGTACCAGTAATGACCTCACCACACCATAAGGATAGCTCATTAATAAAATGCAAAGGAAACGTCTTAATTCATGTGGGTATGCTAAAATGTCAACTTGGCAAAGTAAAACAAAAGGATCACGAAGTATGTTCAGGCAATTACTAGTTTAAATTGAATGTTTTTATTACAGTTCTTGACTACTAAGTTGCAATGGCTATACGACTGAATTAAAATGTAGTCATTGCATCTGTATATCACCTCTAATATGTGGGGGTACAGATTACATCATATTACCTCTTGAGTCAGTTGTAATGTGTATCGTGCTGTATATTTTGGTTGGTTTAGAAAACAAGAGAAGTTCTCTGAAACATCAGCTGGTTTGTAAAATGCGTAAGACAATTAGAAAATGAAAAAAAATTAACTTTCACCACAAACACAAAGTTCACAAAGAAATTAATTTTAGAGTTATTTAATAAAAGGGTCATCTAACAGAACCTTCTTCTGCAATGAAAACAATCTGGATGGGAGTGGGGGGTGAAGTCTCTTTGAACTTAAAAATACTGAGGAGAGGGGGCCTCATCAACAAGTTTTGGAAATCAGGGTGTAATAAGGGATAAAAATATTGTGGCTTCCATTGCGGGGGCGGAAGGGATGTCGATTTTTCTGGAATAACTAATCCAACCAACCCAGACTGCTGGCTAACGTTACACATCTTTTTACCACAACTTACTGAATTATTCACCATAAATTAACTCATGGCTGCACGAAGAAAAACAGATAAAAAAATACGGTTCTGAAAGGCAAAGCACATAATAAAACTTACCACTTATGTAGTTGCACATTTTTTAGTTTTTTTTTTCAACTTTCACAACTCTCCTTCATTTTATTTTATTACTTCATCGCGCTTTCAAAACAAGAACACAAACATGACATCGGGTTGTTGGGTAGAGCTATAGTGGCATTAAGGACCACCTCGAATAATAGCCTGCGAACAGCAGACGTATTTCCGGTCGTCGAGAAGTGCCGGTTCAACTTCAAGTCTTTAAATTAAATAAAGAAAAGGTTAATTAATTAGTTGTTGCGCGGTAATTCTTAGTAACGAGAAAATTTGGTCCTTAGTTAGTGTTTTGCAATTTAGTTTTCAATCAAAGTTTTATAACACCTCTGAGACCTCCTTAAAACTATCTTCACAGACTGTCTTCAGGATACGAAGGTAAGTGTTATTAGAAACCAAATTCCCTTCCTGGAAAGGCGTTTGCAGCTGCGATATCGAAATAGTAAGTAATTTACGATCTTCGTTTGTTCAAGTGGTACGTTCGTTCACACTTCTACTTCGAAGTTCGCATAATAATCAGTTTTCTCCAACTCATTAAAACTTGGGTTGAGCTACGCGCCTTCACACCTCTTAATTTCTCTGTTCTAAGTTGAATCAGTTTTAAGCGAATTTTACTCACTTTACTAACTTAAAACTAAAATCTGTTTTGATAAATCTCAGAAAAATTTCACCATTCTGACTAGCGATTTCAATGCAAAATTTTCACAGTAGCAGCCGGAAACAGTTCAATTACGGTTTCTTTTGATCCTATATTTATAAACACTCCTAAACACCTATTTTTCGCACATGAATGCTATCGCTCTTTCTTAAGCACTCTGTAAGCTAGGATATATTCAGTTTTAGTTCTGGTCAAGCTCGTCACTGCTACACAGAAGAAGATTAGACCAAGTTAAACTGTCAAGTCCTGTTGGTCTATTCCTACAAAATCTGTACCCCCACACTTACACAGGAAAATGCGAGTGACGAAAATTAAAAAAAAAAACGACAATGAAAATAGGAAATCTGGATTTAACTGCTAGCCAGGCAGTGTGCGTCACGACCCACAAAGGTTCATGGGTAAAACTGTTACTGTGCCTCATTTCAATCGTGACACGGTCGAGTTTGCATCTCGTAAGAGAAATGAATCAAACCGGGGATCAAAACACTGCTGCCTTTTCCGAAAAACATTACTGAAGAGAGCGATTTCGAGAATTT